GTGCTTATAGTAGTAGTGGTGTAACTTTGATGAACTAAGGACTTGAGCAAAGCAGGGTTTATAGAGAGTAGTGTCTTTTCTAGGACTGTGATAGGTAGCAAAAATGGATGAGCCATTGCGGTCCTCTTCAGGTCTAAAGCAGAAGTAACAAACACCAAGAAGATGAAAACAGTTGCTCTAGGTTTATATAAATTGTGTTGTTTACTTGAGACATGTGAGTCTTTGGTAAAGATGGTTTAAGGAAAGTTTGAAGAGTTAATGCATTTATATGTGGCTGGCATATAGAGAAGCATAAGGATTCTGTACTGATCTGGAACTCTTACCTGTGAAGGAGTCACTGAAGAATAGTTTCAGCGGATTAGATGGAGCAGGAGCTTGATTTGAAGATGAGAAAGGATTGATCATACTTCAATGTAACTGTAATTTAAATCTTTCATGTGGGGCTAGAGGAAGAGGCATTCTCTGGCTATAGACAGAAGAATACAAGCACAGAAGCAAGGAAAACTTGATTCCAGTCTGTTATTTTTCTATCAGGAGCTGGGAAGCTAAGGGAGATAGAGGATTGTGTGCATAACCAGTCTAGAGAGCAAGGAGTAGACCTGACATGGTTTTTATTCTTGCTACAGTTCTATGAGGAAAACCTTTTTCAGGAATATGGATATTTGCATCAGGCAGAGCAGGAGCAGTTAGTTCAACAAGCCACAAAGTCGACCACAGTGGTGGTCAAGACCAAGACATGGGCAAACTGTCCTACATAGAATATCTGAAGTTGGAAGAGACCCATTAGGATCATACAAGTCCACTTGCATGTTGCGAGTGTATCAGATTTTCATATATAACTACTACTTCACATGCAGCATGTGCTCAGTGAAGATAATGAAAGCAAAACAAGTGGAAAAAGTCTGTCGCCAAGATATGTCTGTATTTGTGGGTGTTTTTATAATCTGAGTGTTTATGCTACCTGTGTAGTAGAATATTAGGAGATACGGTGTTACATTCTGGAAAAGAACTACAGAAGCCGTAATATACTATCAAGCTCAGTTTGTATTTCTGTAACTGGATGATAGGAACATACTGGTATAGTTTTATAATTGGGTAACAGGATATGGAAGGTAAAGTTAAAAGTTCTTTAAAATGTGGCAAAAGTGAAGATTGAGGAAATGTGTTAAAATGAGCTAAAATTGAGGTTCAGCTTGAAAAAAGATGAAATAGTCTGACAAAAAGAGAAATGTCACTTGCAGAACAAGGGCACTGGGCAAAGGTCTTTTACTGCGAAATCACTCAACAAAAAGTGGTAAGATCCAACTTGCGCTCAAATTAAGAGAATTGTAGGAAAGTCATTACTTACAAGGTCATTTTACAAATTTAAAGCACAGAACATGGCAAACCAAATGTAACTATGGAGTATTCTAAGCAGCAGAGAAAAAGCAGAGGAAGAAGCAATTGTGAACCTTTCTTTGCCATCTGGAGAATCACTTTAGCAGATGAGTATTTTTATTCAATCTTTCTAGAGATCGCAGTAGAGGCTAGTAACTACACTGTTAGGAAGAAGAAAGAAAACAATAGTTTTGGTTTCCAAAAAATGTGCACAGCTGGCCAATTAATAGTTCATCTTTATACTTTAATTTCTGTATGAAAGAAGAAAACATTGTGATCTTTGCAACGCACCTGTAACCTCAGGAACCTCAGTTCATCGTGGAGGCTGCTCCAGAGCAGAGTGTTCTGAAAGCTGCTGGCACTCAGACTGTCAAGAAATTGCAAGCAAGGGACCTTAAAGATAGAGCCGTCAGGCTTTCCTGACACAGATGTTCCAATTTAGTCAGGTGAAGAGGACATAAGAGCATGGAAGCCTTGACTGTGTTGGCAGAATCGGAGTGAGGAACTGCAGGTTTGGGGATATGTAGCATTCTAACGGTCCATCTGCTCATGAGTAAATGTGCCCTGACAGTGAAGTAGGAACCCAGAAATCCAGTTCCCTGGCAGTTCCAAACAATCTGAGAGGCCAGGCTACTGAGACGTTTGTTCTGTAGACTTCATGACACTGAGCTGGGCATCTTTGGATTCAAAGCCCACCTGGACAAATTTCTGTATAACCTGTTCTGGGTGGCCCTGCCTTGGCAGGACTAGGTGATCTCCAGAGGTCCCTTCCAACATTAGTAATTCTGTGATTCTGTGATCTTTGGACTTCTGGAGCCTCGCATTCCTTATTGTTGTTATTCTGCTACATGGACTGAAGTGTCTGAAGTTTAGATGCTTGCCTTCTTGTTGGGTTGCCTAGGAGCTCAGCTGGTAAGCAGGGAGAGAACAAGGCACGTTGTAAAACCTTCCTGCTGTAATGCTGCCTGGTTTCATAAAAATCAAATAATCTCTCTCAGGTATTTCAATCTTGATGAGTTGTCAGTCTGATAGACAACATCCTGGGAATTTTCAACTAGCTCTTCACACAGGAACTTGTTTCCAAGACAGTAGCTCATAACCTTAGCACAAATACAAATATTTCATTATAAAGTACAGGAAACACATCTCCCATTTATAATTGGATGCAAATTTCCTTTCCTATGTAGACATCCTGGAGTATCCTGGTATAGAGCTTTAAAGGCCATGACTGATCTTGGTGGGGATTTGAAGAAGTATCAGTATTTTTATAGATTTATACTCTGACTTATATTTGGGTATATATGGGTAATGCTGATAAGAAGGTATGTTAGAGGACAGGAAGGAGATCTCTAATTGGTACCAATATGTGAGTAGTGGATAGTTATATGTCAATAAATATTATATCATGCATTTCTTTTCCTGGTATATTGTGTGCCCTAATTTATTTACATGACTGTGAGCAAGTATGTAAGAATATACACTCAATTTTACATTGTCAATCTATTTTTGTTTAGGAAATAGCAATGGGCCTAGAGTGAAGAAGCCTGAAACTGGTATATATTGTGTTTCTGTTTTCTAAGAGAGAAATTTGGAGTAAACAGCTTCAGCACATTATGTTTTTGATTGTTTGCAAATTGCTTCTTTGAAAAGAAGTAATCTTCTTTCCTTATCTTGTGCTGCATCTTCAGTGATCATTAGTCTTTATTAACTGATACAGATTTCTTTACTACGTTACAAAACAGTTGTAATGTGTATATGTTGGAATTTTGGAGATAAAAAACTCTTCAATCTTGGGAAGAGCAGTGATACAAAAATTTTATATCAGTGATAAAATGGGGCACAGAAGAATGCTAGATAGTCTGGAGAGCAGCTGCCTATCCTAAGTCTGCTGGGAGTTAGATTTGAAAGGGCTTAAAGTCTTGTATATTGAATTTCTGGGTTTCCTCTGACATAAATTGGCCCTGTCTCTAAAACCTGAAGTCAAAGACATTGTATGAACTCACTATATAGCTAATGACAGACAATCCTAACTGAAAGATAAAGGCTTTATAAATATTTGTCATTTAATGTTGAAAGACAAGCTTCAGAAAAGCTGTGGAAAATACTAATTTTAAATTATTTAAACTGTTATGAGTAATACAACCTCTGGCATTTGGCATGACATGAAATCCAGCAGCCTTTATTATGTTGAATGCCAACTGTAAGATTGGTTGGACTCGAAGGTCTTAAAGGTCCTTTCCAAGCTAAATGATCCTGTGATACCCAGTAAAGTCCACAGAAGGGACACAATAACAGAGCACAAATTTCTGAAGCTTGGGAGAAGTAGGCAGATGCAAATAAATACATTGGTTTTTACACTTTCCCAGCCCTCTTTTTGGCCAACTACCATATGAATTGATCATATAGCTCTTTTAGAAACATCATAGTAAGAAGAGTTTGAATGACTAAGTTTTAAACTTGCACTTTCAAACTTTTAAAATCCACATAATCCGCTTTACTGATTTGGTTTTGTGGGACTTTGTTATACAGTTACTTTTACTTTTCCTTGTAATGATATAGTAGCTTGAGCAGATTATTTCTTCGTTCAATAAGTCATTGTTATGATAAAAATACCTACTCAGAAAGGATTATTTCCTTGGTTTTGCTGTAACAGGGATATGTGTTGAAGCTATTTTGGTAACCTTAATTACTCATTTCCAGATGTTACATTTCAAAGTTTAATTTCAGCTTCAAATTTCTAGACTACTCCATGTTTTACGGTTTCTCATTCTAATATTTTTGACTTCTAAAGTTATGCCTTAGAATATATCAGGGGCTTTACTGATGAGGATGTGTCTCTGAATTGGCAATGTAGACTGACACCTAAGTGAAGTATCTGTAGGGTGCTTGTTGTCTAGGCTTCCAGTAGAGTCAGTGAGGATGTGGTCAGTACAACTAATGCAGTCTAGAGAACAGTTTTACTGTCGAGTCACTTGAATATGCTGGATTGCACTGAGGAAACGTTGCCTAAACGTAAGCATTTGATGCTCCTTGAGACTCCCAAGGAAATCAGAGACAGGTGTGTAAGGACCTGGCAAGTGTGATGCACTGGAATGAGCTGCAAGAGCACTGCACATTCTGCAGTGACAGGTGATGGGCAGGAAGGATATTTTTGGGCACTAGATGTCTGTATGAGAACTGGCTGCCTTGACATACTGACTGAGTCCATGGAATATAATGAGAACTCAGCCTCTGAGTTCCCACATGGAGACACATGGTATGATGACGTCAGACTGACTCCCACATCCGTATGTGCCCAAATCCCAGTTTGGTTATTAGTATTATGTATGATTCTTTCTCTTCAACCCCAATATGTCTTTTTTTTAATTAAAATTCATGCCATGAGTGAGATCCCCTACAGCCTGATCAAGTGTCACTGGGACATTCAAAACTGGGCCACCGAAGTGTGGTACAGAAGAAGGCAAAAGCCATCTGTATTAGGGTTTTTGGCAGTTTCTGCTATCTCGTCTCCAACACTGACAACCTGACTACGTGAATCCCAAGACTGATTAGGAGATGCTGTCAGTTTTGACATGTACAAATGAATAAAGTATTGCTGACGTATTTATTTCTTTCTCTTTCAGTTATTGTAATGGATGTATGTTAGATCCAGACTGTGGTCTCTGCTACAAATTGAATAAATCAAGTGTTGTTGAGTCCTCATGTGTTCCTGTCAATAAAGATTCTACAATGAAAGCGGCTTGGGGCAGGTATGTCACTTTCCAAGATTTTCTGGCTTTGTGCTCTATTGATGTTTTTTTGCTATCAAGAATACCTTTGCTTTTACATAAATGTTACTCTTGGGATGTTAGGAGAAAAAAGAAACCAACTTGGCATTGTCGAAAGTGGGTGATCACATTGTAATAATTGTTGTAAATAAAAGCCATGACCTGATGTGTGCAGCCAGTTCGATGTAGTCTGCCACTTAGAAACTATGGCAAAAGTACACTAGCAATTAGAGAAGTTAATTTTCCCTGATGTCTTCATTCATTTAAGGTGGCATATTCCCTAAGTACACACTTAAAGCCATCTGAATTAATTTTCTGTTTAAATGCTTTAATTAAACCACACTTTTAATACTGGCCTACTAAAGAAACTGAGTTGCTCAGCTGAATAATCTAAAATAATACAAATCTGAAAACTTCAAATTATCAAAGCATAGTTTGTGGCCACAGATTACTCTGTTCCTGTGCTTAAAAGTGGCATCATGTTGTATATTGCACTTGGCATGTAAAAATGTGTGCATTGGTAGATAAATCCCAGTGCAACTCCAAAATGCATCAGACCTCTTAAGATGGTTTTTCTTCAAGTTTTCTGAAGTATTGACTGTTCTTAAGGAATGGCTTTATGAGTTGGAACAACATTCTGTAAAGGCTTTATCAATACTTTAATAATGATTATGGCTTGGATTAGGGTTTAGAATGGTTCATTGCCACAAGGGAATTATATAATTACTGCTCATAAAATGTGTAATTACTGCTGATAAAACCTCCTCACCATAATTCAGCTGTGCCACCCACATGCCATAAACACACTTGGAAATAGGCAAAGGTTTGTGTGGTGTTTTGGGCTTTTTTCCCTTTTTGAAGTTAAACCAAGTGCATAGTGTCAGTGAGTCATATTGGACAGAGGTTGGAAGCTATGGAAATACCTACTAATCGTAGAATCATTAATTTAAAATTACTCTAAAATTGCCCTCCTTTGGATTTCAGTACTATTAGAATGTTATGCCTAGTAGTTCATTCCAGATGCAGATGAGAACAGCTTATATTCTTTGGAATCCTAATTTAAAAGCACTGTGATTTGGGGGCTATTTCTGTTTATTAATATATAACTGTGAAAACTACAAAATCTCATCCCTCTTGCTTGTTCTTCAATGGTGCATAGTACAACATATCTTGCATATTACCTAATATCCTGATGTGTTCTGCATGATAGTCTCTCATAGTCATGTTCATAAGGTAACAGATCTCTCTCTATTCTAAATAAACTTTCATTTCATATATGCTGTATTTCTAAGTAACATGTCTGTAGTTAGCAACATTGTACTAGTACACAAGAAGACAAATGGAAACATAAACTTGTTATGAGTAGTTGATAGATAAAATAAAACTTTATTTATTAGGCAGTGTTATTGTATAACGTAGTAAATGTGGGCATCAGTAATCCTTTTATAGCCATGGTTCACTCTCACATAGCACTCCTTGCTGTACAGCCTATTGGAGCAAATTAGATAGGAAAGATGTATTTCCTTTCCGTTTTGCAAACTATAATATTTCCATATTGTACAGTAATTTCATAGCATAAGGACTCTTTCCAATATCTTTCAAGAGAAAACAAAACAATTTTAAATGTGTTACATTGGTCGTCACTAGAGTTCTGCCTTAAGATGGAAAACCAGTAAAATATCCACATTTCTTTTTCCAAAGATTGTGTTCATCTCCATTTCTGGTGTTTATTTAATTAATTTCTAATCCCATCTCCTCCTGGTCTGTGTAATCAGGCAGTTTTCTAAAAGCTCATCTTTCAAACTGTGAAATGTCAGGTGGCACCTTCTGTGCCTTCCAAGCCCTGCAGAACAGGGAAGTGTTTTGCCTCCTCCTCCTCGCAGATATGTGTATTTTTGCATACTTGTCCAGAGGGAATCCCCATAGATTTTGGCTTCCAAGGGTTCACATTAATGTACTTGCTAGCCCAGCTCATCTTTCTCAAATCCTCAGTCTGCTTTACAGCAAAACAGCCCCACAAAGCTGTAGGATTTCCCCACCAAATGAGAAGATTGCTGCAGTGAAAACGGTGGGGTTACATCCCCTCAGGAATTTTCTGTATCTTTCTGGCAGCATAGGGAGAACCAGTGCTAAGACAAACTAACAGCAGTGGGGAAGAAATTATGACCGTGCTGATGCTTGAAAATGCAGCTCTTCATTTCACAAAGTTACTTTGTCACAAGCTAGACATAGAGTGGCAGTTATTTTAAAAATACATGACGTTTTTACAATCAGAAACTGGTTTAATAATTTGAAAGATGATTTTGTGATCTATGGAAAGCTCATAACCACAGTTACCGCATGTGCCCTCTTTATAACTCCTGTGTATACTGATGGCTTCATGCCAGTGTTGGCTGAATGAGTAAATGGCATAAAACCTCCAGACTTGGAAGCCTTATATGGCCAATTTATTTTGCCATTAGTTTCACTCAGGAGAGAAGGAAGACCCAAGCTATTTGTTTTGGATTTGTTGGACTTCAGTTTGCCTGAACGTTAGCGAAAGCAGCAGCTCTCACTATCCTGCCTGATGCAGGTTTGGAGAAATGGCTTCTGCTGGACTCAGATCAATGGTGCCGTGCAGAGCATTTCACTGCTGCTGCAATCACACTGGTTTATGATTTTCCCACTGGAAAGCTGGGAGCTGCAGCCATGGAGAGGTGCATGGGATGTCATCAGACGAGGTGTGTGCAGCCACATAGCTCTGCAGCCATCTTCGTAGAATCATGGAATGGTTTGGGTTGGAAGGGACCTTAAAGATCGTCTAGTTCTAACACCCCTGCCATGGGCAGGGACACCTTCCACTAGACCAGGGTGCTCTAAGCCCTGTCCAACCTGGCCTTGAACACTGCCAGGGATGGGGAAGGGGCATCTTAGCCCCAGCCGTCCTGACATTCACTCAGAGGCTTATCTTTTCCTCCTGTGTAACCTACCAGCAAGGCGAGAAATGTGAAAAGGCACCAACAGACAAGGCATTGTCACTTTATTTGAAGCTCTCTGCAGCCATGCAGGCTGCCATAGAAAACCCTCCTGTGTATGTATTTCTAGCTTTGCACTGTTCTTCTTTGCACAGTTGGTCCCAAGGTACTTCAATAACACTGACGTAGCAGGCAATGTTTTGACTCTTATCATAAAATACTGTAATATATTTTTATTTGCAAGATGTTTCCCCTGTGCCAGCCTGGTGTACTAGACACCACCTCTATGCTTATTGTTAATCATATTTATTTGGTTATGGTAAGTTCTACATTGAGAAGTTCTGGGGAGGGGAGAGAAGAGAGCAGAGATTTCAGTCTCCTGTGGCTGCCAGCAAGGCTGTGTATGTTGCTGTGGTTGTCATAGAAACCAAGGGACACAATGAGAGTGTCCAAATGTTTTTCAAGAAGAATTATAGCATTTGGGTTCTTTTGAATCTGGGGAACTCGGTGGCCAGCAGCAGCCACTGCATAAGAATAAATCTAAGTGAGTCCAAGGCAGGCCTTGAAGCAGTGTGGGTAATGTGCCATGGGTACACTTGCATCATACGTGTAAGATAAAGAATAGAGGTGTATTTTTTATTATTTAATCAGTTACATAAGCCTGACTGGTGTTGGAATAACACAGAGAGAAGCGTCCTGCCCAGGCACCAGCACAGTCAGGTGCTTTGCTGCCCTTGGTATTACTGAACCAGGTAACAAAACAACTGTTGACATGCAAATCTTGCTGCCTCCAGCTCTACCCAGAGACATATAAAAGATGGTTTCAAGGCAGTGAGCAAGAATATTCTTAAATTATTCACTTTGTAATAAAAGAAGAGCAGCTGTGTCTTCTTGCTCAGTGCAGTCTGAGGATTCTGTGTTAGGAGGCTGTTCTCCAGGATTTAGGGAAGTTTTGCATTTAGCAGTAGCATAGAAAGGCTTACAGTTCTGTTCTCTTCATGAACATTGAATTATAAAATCCCCGTGAAGTTGATAAAAAGCATTATCTCACTTTGCAGGGGGGGGATGCAATGGGAAGCTTCCATTCTGAAGCTCAGGTGTCACAACAGAAGCCATGGGTAGAGTCTCTCAGCCAGGACTGAATGTGGAGGTGATTGCTTTCAGTTCTGTGCTTTTAGAGCACAAACTGAAATCTAGTTCTTCCGTACAATTGCAATTACTCCCACTATACTCTCAGAAACCTTGAAACTTCTGTCCCTGTAATTGCGATAACTCTAAAGGCCAGCCAAGAATGCTCTAGAAGTAACTTCAAATTGCATTAATATTCTTACAGTTGAAAGAATAACCGCACAAGGGAAGGAGCTATTAGTGCCTTGACATGACATTAACCTTGACATGAGTATGTTGTCAAGATGACAGCAGGCCCACAACTGCAAGCTAAAAAGCTCTCTGAGTGACTCTGAGCAGTCTCCCTCTGGAGAAAAAGATGTTGACTTTATACAGTAAACAATTATGAAGAAATAATAACATCATCTGCAGATCAGAGACAAGCCTAGAAGCCATCCTGTCCACAAAATTATCTGGCAGGTCTCCAAGGTCCTTGAAGGAGGATGGTTGGGAACAGAAATCTGTAACGGGAGAAGAGCAGTGATTTGCTTTCTTCGGCCATTTTTATTAACTTCATTAAAGGAACATCTCCCTGCCGTGGGAGTTTAATGCTTCATGGAGAATCCTGCTTTTGTCAATATAAACAAGAATTCCCCTCTCTAAGGGGAGCACAAGAAGAGCTCTGTTTTTGCAAAGCTCTTCATCTTCCTCTGGCCAGTGCCCTCCTGAGCTCCTTCCTTCCGCCTAAAATTAATGGCATGTTTACAGATGCTCATTAATGCTGTTTAGTGTGACTGTGTGCCGGTTGGCATAGCCATTGGGTTTGCTGAGCAGTGTAACTGTATCTTGGAAACCTGCTCTGGGGACCGGTGGGTTTGAATTACCCAGGCAATGTGAGGAAGCGGGGCAGGCAGGCAGGCA